TCGCCCTTTGCGGTCATGAAAAGGGTGATTTGTCGGGGAACAGAGGTATTTTTCGCTAACGCTATGCAGACTCTTCGACATTTTTTGCCCACTCTACAAAATGCATCTGCGTTTGTCACCGGAATATTCCATGGCCGTCTGAAACAAGGTGGAATTTACAGTCTCGACTAATTAGCGCAGTCTTCATTTGAAAAGGAGAGATCCAGCTCTGTCTTGAAGAAATTCAGTCTGAGCACTGGGATGATAATTCCATCCATAATAGTATCCTGAATGTATTAAAGAGCGAAACATGTTCTCTTCTTTTTGCACTTTTTCAACAAAGTGTACACGCGCGTTGACGCTGTTTATGGGATCCTCTAACACAGAAGTACAAGGCCCATAGCAGCGTAACAACTTCTAGACACGTTTGAAGTCGCTGTTGATGAAATTAGAAACAGTATGCGTGTTTCATCAACAAGACAGGCCACAGAGAAACACGCTTCCAAGAGACGCAGACATTACAACACCAACGAAATGGCTGCAAAGCAGGCCTGTGACATAATAGTTACTCAAATTGTGACAGCTCAACGCACTCTCAATCTGCGATTTCTCCAAATTCCAGGACTATCAAAAGTCGTTTCCAACAGTTCTTTTAGGATCGTTTACAGAAATATTACTGTTTTGTTTAAAATCAAATTACAAACAGAATTAGTATTACACTGCAATGAAATGTGTAAATCTGCTCGGTGTCGTATAATCCAGGGCCTTTATTAACTCTGAAGGACAACAAATTCGAGACAACATTTAGGGAAGTATGCAAAATACCAGAAATCGTACTGACGTTTATGTCGATCCACAAGGACATCATTGACAGCTTGCCCAACTTCGTCAACAGAATAATGGACACTTTTGCTACAGCAAAAGAACGAAAGGAAAATTTCTTCTTCAAATATATTTTCTCAAAATAGGTAGAATGAATAAAACATCTAATTTACATGCCCTTGACTATCTTCAACCTGCTTTAACCTAATTGTGCACGCCCGCTTTTTAGATCCACGAGCCGCCCCTGATATCAAATCACAAAGAACTATGCACTTTTACAACTGCAAATTGAAACAGATTCATGTAACACAAAAAATGGAAGTTCGCTTTTATTTCGTAGCCCATTCAGAGAGCCCGAGATATGCTGGCTGTAAACAGGTTGACAAGCAGTGACCTATCGTATAACAGAAACAAAAGCAGTCTCTTACCAGATGACAATGTTGTTGAACGTTTCCTCCCGTGTGACGTCAAACATAAGAAGACAACCATGCACTCCTCGATAGTATGATGACGTCAAGCTTCGATAACGTTCTTGACCTGAATATGAAATAAATGTCAACAACATCTTTGGTGTTTAAAGAGACAAAGAGAAGAGACAAAGAGACAGAGGAAGAGATTAAAAGGGGAAAAAAATGTTTCTCCATGATGTATGAAATGGACAAAAAATGCAATTTGAAAAGGAAAAATTGTAATTTGAAGAAACAAGAAAACTAATATGTAAACCATTCACATGCTTGCAACTTCCGACTATAAAGACTTAAGACTAAAGAGTAAACATGTCAATCATCGAAACATCACGTGTGCTGTTGCAACCACAGTATATTCAACAATTTAAAGAATTAATTTATAACTCTCTGGTAGCTTCGTTTTTTAAAAGATGAGTTGAAAAGTCACCCCTCCC